AGAGACAGTGTCGGTATGCGTGAGAGTGTGTGCAAGACAAAATAAATCTAACTTCTATCTGCAGAATAGGTTCTATAACTTTAGTCCCATCCATCCTCTCTGACTGGGTTCTATAACACTAGTCCCATCCATCCTCTCTGACTGGGTTCTATAACACTAGTCCCATCCATCCTCTCTGACTGGGTTCTATAACATTAGTCCCATCCCTCCTCTCTGACTGGGTTCTATAACAATAGTCCCATCCATCCTCTCTGACTGGGTTCTATAACATTAGTCCCATCCCTCCTCTCTGACTGGGTTCTATAACATTAGTCCCATCCATCCTCTCTGACTGGGTTCTATAACAATAGTCCCATCCATCCTCTCTGACTGGGTTCTATAACATTAGTCCCATCCATCCTCTCTGACTGGGTTCTATAACAATAGTCCCATCCATCCTCTCTGACTGGGTTCTATAACAATAGTCCCATCCATCCTCTCTGACTGGGTTCTATAACATTAGTCCCATCCCTCCTCTCTGACTGGGTTCTATAACATTAGTCCCTTCCATCCTCTCTGACTGGGTTCTATAACAATAGTCCCATCCATCCTCTCTGACTGGGTTCTATAACATTAGTCCCATCCATCCTCTCTGACTGGGTTCTATAACATTAGTCCCATCCATCCTCTCTGACTGGGTTCTATAACAATAGTCCCATCCCTCCTCTGACTGGGTTCTATAACATTAGTCCCATCCCTCCTCTCTATAATATAATAATATGCCATTTAGCAGACGCTTTTATCCAAAGCGACTTACAGTCATGCGTGCATACATTTTTTTTTGTTTGTGTATGGGTGGTCCCGGGGATCGAACCCACTACCTTGGCGTTACAAGCGCCGTGCTCTACCAGCTGAGCTACAGAGGACCAGCTATATCTGACTGATATGAAGCGCATTTTCTGTTAATTTTGATAGTAGAAAAATGTGTCAAGTTATTTAAATGCATGTTTTTGTAATGAAAAGAAAAGAAACATAAAACATATATTCAATGATTGCTACATATTTGTTTATATTTCCAGCTCATGGAATCAACAATTATACATGTGCATCTATATTCATACATTTCTTTAAAACATTTTCATTAAATGTGATAACAATGTACATCATACACTATCAATAAGAAAATACTGACAATTTTCAGTACAAATCTATACCTTGATTTATCTGACAAGCAAAAATCATTGCTCATTATCTTTTTAAAAAATGAAGAAAAAAAAGGACCTGACATAAACCAAATTCCGAAGCCTGTTTAGTGTTCTCTGGTCTCTCCCAGGAATAAAGGAATTCACAGTATGGAAAAACCCAGTGTGTCATCATGGTGAGTCACAATCTACACCCCTAGAAGCTGCTTGTACAGAAACAAGCAATTCAACCAAATCACTTTAAAAAAAAGGGACAGAATAGATTAGACAATGAAATTAAACCATTAACACAGTGGATCAGTTATATGTGTACTTAGCAATGAAAAGTAATATACCGAAACATGATTTGAAAATAAATAGTTGTTGTGGTTACGATCCCCATGTCCTGTGTAGTTAAAACAACAATAAATTAACAGATTTAAAAAATCTTTCCATTCAAAATGTCACTCATCATGCCTTGAATGTTCCAGAACTGTTTGGAATGAGAGGGAGAGAGAGAAAGCCATCCCAACTCTTCAGCATCCTGTACCACAACAGAGAATAGAGTAGTACTGTACCTCACAGTGTCAAAAGGAGGGTGAGTTGAGTTCACATGATACCCTGCTCTGGGTAGATGGCCTGTCTGACTATGGTGATCCAGTGTTTATGATTCTCATCAGGTATTTCTGCAGGTAAGACCCATTGCAGTCAGACTGAGGAGAGGGTGGTGGTGAGTAAGGCAACTGTTCCCAGTACATGTTGCTTCCCCATCAGAGAGCATTGTAAAAAGCCAAAATCAATAGGAGAAATTATGGACATCAATGCACCATCTGCTCTCAGTGGAGTCTGTTAGCTTCTATTAATGTTTACATGTTGAGTACAGCCTTAGTGTAAATTCCCATTATACTTCATAACAGCTCACTGGCAACTAAACACACAGAATAAAACTACAATCTATTGGAATGACGATGTTCTGCAGTGCAGTACTATCCTGTCTAGTGTTTTGGGGAAGTCTGTTGCCTCTACACTACCGACATTCTAATCACCATGCTGGTGTTGACCTTCCTGAACAGGTAGGTACAGTCATCAAGTGATGTCATGTGACCAGGAACAAGTGGGAATACACCTGTACTCACCTGATCCAAGTCATAATGCATAGCGCTAGACAAACTCCACCTTACTCAAACACAGAGACAGTGTCGGTATGCGTGAGAGCGTGTGCAAGACAAAATAAATCTAACTTCTATCTGCAGAATAGGTTCTATAACATTAGTCCCATCCATCCTCTCTGACTGGGTTCTATAACATTAGTCCCATCCATCCTCTCTGACAGGGTTCTATAACATTAGTCCCATCCATCCTCTCTGACTGGGTTCTATAACATTAGTCCCATCCATCCTCTCTGACTGGGTTCTATAACATTAGTCCCATCCCTCCTCTCTGACAGGGTTCTATAACATTAGTCCCATCCATCCTCTCTGACTGGGTTCTATAACAATAGTCCCATCCATCCTCTCTGACTGGGTTCTATAACATTAGTCCCATCCATCCTCTCTGACTGGGTTCTATAACAATAGTCCCATCCCTCCTCTCTGACTGGGTTCTATAACAATAGTCCCATCCATCCTCTCTGACTGGGTTCTATAACAATAGTCCCATCCCTCCTCTCTGACTGGGTTCTATAACAATAGTCCCATCCATCCTCTCTGACTGGGTTCTATAACAATAGTCCCATCCATCCTCTCTGGGGTCCTTAGTGTCCTAGCTCTAAGTGATGTAACATCTGTGCAGTACTCTCTGTGTCACGGTCCAGCTATTCATCTATACCAGTATCACATTCTGTTGAAGATTGATTCAGGGGTACACCAAAATAAATACAATGAAATAGTGAATAAATACTGTACATGAAGTGAGGACACTCTTCAAAATGTGAATGATTCAGGTCACATTCAAGTGAACTCAGAGATGGAAAACAAAGAAAGACACCATCTGTTCTTACATATACGTCCTCTAAATACCAGACAGACAGACGAGAGAGAGAGAGAGAGAGAGAGAGAGGACATGCTGAGATGAGTGAAGCGTCATGGTCTGAGAAATCAGAGAATCACATTTACAGTCACATTCTGTCACACTTAGTACACGAAGTGGGGAAATAGCCCTTGTCATGAGGAAAGAAAAGTGGGGAAATAGCCCTTGTCATGAGGAAAGAGAAGTGGGGAAATAGCCCTTGTCATGAGGAAAGAGAAGTTCAACCAAAACAAGGAAGATGGATCTTCTTCACCCAGGCAATGACAGCACACCTGTCAGACGGGGTGTTGGTCCATTATGATGAATTGAGGTACTTATTTTCAACTAAATAAAAATCATACAGTAAATAATTTTAGATTGAAATAAAACAGGAGAGAAAAAAATAGCATTAACATTTTTAAAAGCGGCAATCTGCAGTTCAAACAACAAAGCTCACTTCCCCACCACTATTTTGGTAGAAGGCTGAAGGATGGGCTGGAGAAATGAAACCACTCTCAAACTCATGGACAGAGCTATGGATACAAGGACTGACCTTCCATGATATCAACATTATAGTTCTAACCATGTTTTGAGGCTATACAGTGTTTGTTTACATTTACCTAGTCTACAAGCAAAGGAGTAAAACAAGCTTATATTTGGGTTCTGATGGGGTACGACTGTGGAACTAAGCTCATGAGGCATCTATAAATTATATTACTCAAGAATCAGGAGTCACTCACCACCTTCCGGAGACATTTGAAACCCCACCTCTTTAAGGAATACCTGGGATAGGATAAAGTAATCCTTCTACTACCCCCCCCCCCCCCCCCCTTTACTCCAACCCCCCCCCCCCCCCAAAAAAATATATATATAAATAAAACATTGTAAAGTGGTTATCCCACTGGCTATAAGGTGAATGCACCTATTTGTAAGTCGCTCTGGATAAGAGCGTCTGCTAAATGACGTAAATGTAAATGTAATGTAAATGAATCAATAGGTATATATATCACACATTTAAAAAAAGTCTAAATTGGATGTAGCAACTGCAGATTGCCCCTTTAAGAGATGTTGTAAGTTCAGTTTCTTCGCATAATTGCTTCTAGTTTTTTTTCTTGTGCTTATCAACATTAAAAGCTTGGGGAGCAAACACAGGAATAGTGGTTAACCATGTCCGGGTCCATGCAGAGACACCCATATTTGTTGTTTCTCCTCAGACTAAAATCAGAGTATTATTGCAGACCAGTACTCTGTTGGTTACTATGGTAACATGTAGGATAGAAGCCATTACTTTAGTTTCCAAAGCACATGCTGTTATCACCTAGGGGAGTGGTTGTTGTCGTTTGTAAAGTGACAAGGCAAAAGCAGATTGTAAAATATAGTCTCCTCTATCAAACAAACCAGGGTAGAATAGCTAGGGAGAGGTCAGAGCCTAAAGATATCTGCAATCATTCATTCCTTCATTAAAATCAGTCCATTCCTATGGTTCACAAAATTGAAAAAACAACATTGTAGCATCTCATTGCTGCCCTCAAGTGGAAGAACATAGAAACAGTCTCCCCCTCCCGAAATAGAAACAAGTGCTTTTTGTGGTTGTGAATGGGAAGTTGGAGGCCCTTCTCCGAGGCTGAGACACTTTCCCCCTCCACACAAACACCATGGGTAATCAATGTGTCTGTCTGTCAGACAGTATAGGGAGGGCGGGGTCGATACTATGGCACGCATGTGTGGATGTTGGCGTTCTTTGTGTATGCATGAAGGTATGTGCTTCAGTGTGTGTACGACTATGTGTTTGTGTACCGTAAATACTGTGCAAGTGTGACAGTGTGTGTGTGTCTACAGTGTGATGACTGTGCCGTCCTCCTCTAAGCTCCTTCCCTCCAGGCCCCTGTTGGCGGTGCTCAGTGAGTTGGCGCTGTTGCTGGAGGCCAGGGCTCCGTTGGTGGTACGGAGGTCCAGATGGGGAACGTAGCGGGGCAGGGAGGGCACGGCCTCTCCGTCCACCTCTATCACCAGGTCCTCATCATCCTCATCACTCTCCAGCTCCTCTGGGTGGAAGTTCTGGATTATGTGTGCCGGAGTCGTCGCCATGGCAGCGCCCGGGGAGGAGTAGCCGTAGAAACTGCCGCCGCTGTCGGACGAGTGCCCCGAGCTCCCGGACACTGCCCCGCCCCCGCCACTCCGTACGATGTTGTTGCGCTGGTTGGCCGGCTTCACCGTCACGATGAGGTTGTGGCTGTTGGCGATCATCATGTCTGTCACCTGGTCCAGAGACTTGCCTTGCACCTCGATGCCGTTGACCTCCAGAACCTCGTCGTTGACGGCCAGCAGGCCCGTGCTCTCAGCCAGGCCCCCAGGCACCATGCGGGAGATGAAGATCCCAGGCACCTTCTCCAGGCCCTGGGGCGTGACCCGGACGCTGGAGCCGTCGCGGATGTAGAAGCCCAGCGGTTTCTCCTGGCCGTGCTTGTAGAGGCGAACCCGGCGGTGTGTCTCAGGGAGGATATCCACATCGATGATGGAGGAGACGGGCCTGAAGTCCCTGGGCAGGCTGATGATCACAGGGGGCTTCTTCCGGTTGGCATCAGGCCGTAGCAACATGGCCGCTAGGACCGTCTTCTTAGGACGGGTCAGAGAGTCCATACCAAATGAAGAGTAGTCTGCTTCCTCTGGGGGGGTGGAGAGAACAATGCATCAGAAACATATCAATATCACATGATACAGTTGGGATCTACTCTCATACTCCCATACCGTAAATGCTTCCTGATAATTATGGTGGAACTATAAATCATTACTGACAGTCTACTGCAGACTATACTGTAGTTATGGAAACGCGAAGGTGTTGCTCTAAGCCTGAGGCCTAGGGTTCCTTTAGCTTAGAGCCCCTCCCTCCCTCTCCGGTCTCTCTTTCATGGCAGGGCTTTCGGAATTCCTCAGAGGCTTACTCAAGGCAACTGTGCTGCTGTGAGACATACCTGGACTTTCACCTGAGCATGGCTCAGGGCAGGGAAAGGGCTCTAGACTAGACCAAAGGTCTAAGAAGAGAGAGAACCAGGGACAGGGCTCTCTAAAATGGTTAACCACCAGCACACGGATGCTAAACATTAATATCATAACGTTCATTGCCTCCTGGGTTGTGTGCCCCAGTCCCTCCCTTTATCTATCGCTCTCTCTCGGTCTCTTCTTTCTCCCACTGGCTATATATGTCCTGGAATTAATGACATGTTCTCGTATCCCATGGTGTGTTGTAGTGTGTGTATGTATGTATTTATGTATGTATGTACACACTGTGTAGTTCTCAGGTGATATGGATATACTCTTTGCACCTAAGCATCAGCAGTAATTGTCCATGGATAGTGGTGTTGTCGTTATAGACTATGTGGGTGTGTTGGGATCTGGGATAGGGTCCAGGCAGGTTGTAGATAAGGATCCCAGCCCTCAGGTTGACAGGTACCCCTCCCCCCCTCAACCAGAAAAACTAAGGTGTAGAGAGGAGTATCCCATCTCAATTCTAATTAAACATAAGTTCATTGCCTCATTGTCAGGACATTAGAACTGTATGACTACAAAATATAGGTTTACATATTCACAAAAACACATACTGATACGTTGGGAGTTAAAATGCATGAACACGAACAATAATCCAAACTCAAAACCTCCCCAAAAGAATGTAAGCATCCAGCTAATCTGCATGATGTTCCCACAGAGGTAGCCTACAGTGCCTTCAGAGAGTATTCACACCCCCTTGACCTTTTCCACATTTTGTAGTGTTACGAAGTGGGATTAAAATGGATTTAATTTAATGTAATTATTTTTTAAACGATTTACACAAAATACTCTAATATCAAAGTGGAAGAAAAATTATATTTGTAAAAAATTCATGAAAAAGAAAACTAATATATCTTAAGACCCTCACAAACCTCACAACCTTTTACAGATGCACAATTGAGAGCATCCTGTCGGGCTGTATCACCGCCTGGTACGGCAACTGCACCGCCCGCAACCGCAGGGCTCTCCAGAGGGTGGTGCAGTCTGCTGAACGCATTACCGGGGGCAAACTATCCGCCCTCCATGACACCTACAGCACCCGATGACACAGGAAGGCCAAAAGGATCATCAAGGACATCAACCACCTGAGCCACTGCCTGTTCACCCCGCTACCATCCAGAAGGCGAGGTCAGTAAAGGTGCATCAAAGCTGGGACCGAGAGTCTGAAAAACAGCTTCTATTTCAAGGCCATCAGACTGTTAAATAGCCATCACTAGGAGGCGTCCACCCGGTTATGTAACCCTGCACCTTAGAGGCTGCTGCCCCATATACATAGACTTGAAATCACTTGCCACTTTAATAATGTTTACATACTGCTTTACTCATTTCATATGTATATACTGCATTCTATTCTACTGTATTTTAGTCAATGCCACTCCGACATTGCTCATCCTAATATTTATATATTTCTTAATTCCATTATTTTACTTTCGATTTGTGTGTATTGTTAGATACTACTGCACTGCTGGAGCTAGGAACACAAGCATAACCCTCCATGGTGAGAGTTAGGGTTGGCTGCACACCAGCATAACCCTCCATGGTGAGTAGGTGTAGGGTTTGGCTACACCACCAGCATAAACCCTCCATGGTAGAGGTTAGGGTTGGCTACACACCATGCATAACCCTCCATGTGAGAGTTAGGGTTGGACTGCACACCAGCATAACCCTCCCATGGTGAGAGTAAGAGGCTGGCTGTACACCCAGCATAACCCTCCATGGGTTGAGCAGTAGGGTTGGCTGCACAACCAGCATAACCCTCCCGGGTGTAGTGGAAGTTAGGTTTGGCTGCACACCAGGCATAACCCTGCCAGGGTGAGAGTTAGGGTTGGCTGCACACCAGCATAACCCTCCAGGGTGAGACGTTAGGGTTGGCTTGCACATCCAGCATAACTCCCCTGGTGGAAGTTATGGGTTGGCAAACACACCAGCCATAACCCTCCAGGGTGTAGAGTTAGGGTTGGCTGCCACACCAGCATAACCTCCATGGTGAGAGTTAGGTTGGCTGGCACCCAGCATAAACCCTCCATGGTGAGAGTTTATGGGTTGGGCACAACACACCAGCATAACCCTCCCATGGTGGGTGGAGTTAAGGGTTGGCTGCAACACCAGCCAAAACCTCCATGGTGAGAGGTTGGGTTTGGCTGCACCCAGCCATAACCCATCCATGGTAGAGTAAGGGCTGGCTACAACCCACGCATAACCCTCCATGGTGAGAGTTCAGGGTTGGCAACCAAACCCCGCATAACCCTCCATGGTGAGAGTTAGGGTTGGCTACACACCAACATAACCCTCCATGGTGATGAGTTAGGGTTGGCTGCACACCAGCATAAACCCCTCCATGGAGAGTGAGATTTAGGTTGGCGGCTGCACACCAGCATAAACCCTCCAGGGGGAGAGTTAGGGTTGGTGCAACCAGCATAACCCCCATGGTGAGAGTTAGGTTGGGATGCACACCAGCATAACCCTCATGGTGAGAGTAAGGGATGGCTACCACCAAGCATAACCCTCCATGGTGAGATTAGGGTGGCAACACCCAGCATAACCTCCATGTGAGAGTTAGGGTTGGCAAAAACACCAAGCAGAACCCCCATGGTGAGATAGGAACACAAGCAGTTCGCTACACCCACAAATAATATCTGCCTAAATATGTGTATGTGAACCAATAACATTGAGGTTTGCCAAGTATTCAAACCCCTGAGTCAATACATCTTAGAATCACCTTTGGCAGCGATTACAGCTGTGAGTCTTTCTGGGTAAGTCTCTAAGAGCTTTCCACACCTGGATTGTGCAACATGTGCCCTTTATTCTTTTCAAAATTCTTCAAGCTCTGTAAAATTGGTTGTTGATCAATGCTAGACAGCCATTTTCAGGTTTTGCTATAGATCTTCAAGCAGATTTAAATCGAAACTGTAACTCGGCCACTCAGGAACATTTCCTGTCTTCTTGGTAAGCAACTCCAGTGTAAATTTGGCCTTGTGTTTCAGGTTATTGTCCTGCTGAAAGGTGAATTCATCTCCCAGTGTCTGGTGGAAAGCAGACTGAACCAGGTTTTCCTCTAGGATTTTGCTTGTGCTTAGCTCCATTCCATATCTGAAAAACTCCTCAGTCCTTAAGGATTACAAGCATACCCATAATATGATGCAGCCACCACTATGCTTGAAAATATGGAGAGTGGGACTCAGTAATGTGTGGTATTGGATTTGCCCCAAACATAACACTTTGTATTCAGGACAAAAAGTTAATTGCTTTGCCACATTTTTTGCAGTTTTACTTTAGTGCCTTGTTGCAAACAGGATACATGTTTTGGAATATTTTTATTCTGTACAGGCTTCCTTCTTTTCACTATGTCATTTAGGTTAGTATTGTGGAGTAACTACAATGTTGTTGATCCATCCTTAGTCCTCTCCTATAACAGACATTAAACTGTAACTGTTTTAAAGTCACCATTGGCCTCATGGTGAAATCCTTCCTCTCCGGCAACTGAGTTAGGAAGGACGCCTGATCTTTGTAGTGACAGGGTGTATTGATACACCATCCCAAGTGTAATTAATAATTTCACCATGCTCAAAGGGATATTTATTTTATTTTGACCCATCTACCAATAGGTGCCCTTCTTTGCAGGCATTGGAAAACCTCCCTGGTCTTTGTGGTTGAATCTAGGTTTGAAATTAACTGCTCGACTGAAGGACCTTACAGATAATTGTGTGTGTGGGTTATAGAGATGAGGTAGTCATTCAAACATCATGTTAAACACTATTATTGCAACTTATGTGACTTGTTAAGCAAATGTTTACTCGTGAATTTATTTAGGCTTGCAATAACAAAGCGGTTGAATACCTATTGACTAAAGACATTTCAGCTTTTCATTTTGGGGTATTGTGTGTAGGCCAGTGACAAGAAAACAACATTTAATCCATTTGAAATTCAGGCTGTAACAACAAAATGTGGAAAAAGTCAAGGGGTGTGAATACTGGGTGAGCTGGGTGGCAGCCGATTGGTTAAGAGGTTGGGCCAGTAAACGAAAAGTTGTTGGTTCGAATCCCCGAGCTGACTAGGTGAAATCTGTCGATGTGCCCTTGAGCAAGGCACTTAACCATAATTGCTCCTGTAAGTCGCTCTGGATAAGAGAGTCTGCTAAATGTCTAAAATGTAAAAATAAATACTTTCTGAAGGCCCTCTGTCTACTCTACACACAGATAGGCATTTCTAAGGACAGGCACACACAGATCTGGCAGACTGGTCCCTACAGTGCAGTCAGGCATACCAGTTCATCTCTCTGTTTCCCCCTCTCCTTTTTCTACTACTCTTTCACTCAGTCTCTTCTCTCCCCCCCCCCCCCCTTCCCACATATCAAAGTGCAAGTCTAACAATGAGGTTATAGTGAAGGATGACGTGTACAACAGGAGGCCCCTGAGGGCCACCCATACAGGCTCAGGAAAGACATGCTGTTCTAGAAGTCACAAACAGGCACTCACATCAACAACTACACAACACGCACTTATGCTTAGGCTTGCTCACACACACAACTGAAAACACACACTGCTCCATCCCTTGACTGTTCGTGTTGATCTCTGACTAATGATCCTCTGTGTGACACATGCCAGTGAAAACCAATACCTCATCTCAGAGCAATGAGCTTCTCAGTCTCGTTAAAGCAGCTAGCTTCTCAGTCTCGTTAAAGCAGCTAGCAAGGTTTTCAGTCTCATTAAAGCAGCTAGCAGGGCTTTCAGTCTCATTAAAGCAGCTAGCAAGGCTTTCAGTCTCATTAAAGCAACTAGCAAGGCTTTCAGTCTCATTAAAGCAACTAGCAAGGCTTTCAAGAGTAATTCATCTATTTTATACACACACCTGATCAAATAGTTGACCCTTCCTAAATGTTATCCCTTCAACCCGCCACCACTGGTTTCCTATGGTCGATAAAGTAGGCGTAAATAGTCAATACTATGGCGCTAACGCCCCAAGACCCAGACTAATCATCTGACTGTCTTGGTGTGTGTGTCCCTTTGGGGGTCACTGTCATAATACCACAGTTCCCTCTGAGCTGGGCCACCGGGGTCACCATTACACTCGGTGCCATGAGACAGTTTATCCGTTTTTCTCATTAATGTGCAATGGGCTGGCTGATAAACTACACACAACAATATAACCCTCACCTGTAGATAGGAGTTCACCTTTATGCTCATTAAGTACATGACTCAAACGTCAGGAACGCAATTGAGTGAGTGAGCATATGTGAGTTTATAATTAATCAATCCAATCAGTGATAACTGTGTAAGAAGTAAACACCAGCATAACCCTCCAGGGTGAGAGTTAGGGTTGGCTACACACCAGCATAACCCTCCATGGTGAGAGTTAGGGTTGGCTACACACCAGCATAACCCTCCATGGTGAGAGTTAGGGTTGGCTACACACCAGCATAACCCTCCATGGTGAGAGTTAGGGTTGGCTACACACCAGCATAACCCTCCAGGGTGAGAGTTAGGGTTGGCTACACTCCAGCATAACCCTCCATGGTGAGAGTTAGGGTTGGCTACACACCAGCATAACCCTCCATGGTGAGAGTTAGGGTTGGCTACACACCAGCATAACCCTCCATGGTGAGAGTTAGGGTTGGCTGCACTCCAGCATAACCCTCCATGGTGAGAGTTAGGGTTGGCTGCACTCCAGCATAACCCTCCATGGTGAGAGTTAGGGTTGGCTACACACCAGCATAACCCTCCATGGTGAGAGTTAGGGTTGGCTGCACACCAGCATAACCCTCCATGGTGAGAGTTAGGGTTGGCTACACACCAGCATAACCCTCCATGGTGAGAGTTAGGGTTGGCTACACACCAGCATAACCCTCCATGGTGAGAGTTAGGGTTGGCTACACACCAGCATAACCCTCCATGGTGAGAGTTAGGGTTGGCTACACACCAGCATAACCCTCCATGGTGAGAGTTAGGGTTGGCTGCACACCAGCATAACCCTCCAGGGTGAGAGTTAGGGTTGGCTGCACACCAGCATAACCCTCCAGGGTGAGAGTTAGGGTTGGCTACACACCAGCATAACCCTCCATGGTGAGAGTTAGGGTTGGCTGCACTCCAGCATAACCCTCCATGGTGAGAGTTAGGGCTGGCTGCACACCAGCAAAACCCTCCATGGTGAGAGTAAGGGCTGGCTACAAACCAGCATAACCCTCCAGGGTGAGAGTTAGGGCTGGCTGCACACCAGCATAACCCTCCAGGGTGAGAGTTAGGTTTGGCTGCACACCAGCATAACCCTCCAGGGTGAGAGTTAGGGTTGGCTGCACACCAGCATAACCCTCCAGGGTGAGAGTTAGGGTTGGCTGCACACCAGCATAACCCTCCATGGTGAGAGTTAGGGTTGGCTGCACACCAGCATAACCCTCCATGGTGAGAGTAAGGGCTGGCTACACACCAGCATAACCCTCCATGGTGAGAGTTAGGGTTGGCAACACACCAGCATAACCCTCCATGGTGAGAGTTAGGGTTGGCAACACACCAGCATAACCCTCCATGGTGAGATAGGAACACAAGCATTTCGCTACACCCACAATAATATCTGCTAAATATGTGTATGTGACCAATAACATTTGATTTGACAAGTATTCAAACCCCTGAGTCAATACATCTTAGAATCACCTTTGGCAGCGATTACAGCTGTGAGTCTTTCTGGGTAAGTCTCTAAGAGCTTTCCACACCTGGATTGTGCAACATGTGCCCTTTATTCTTTTCAAAATTCTTCAAGCTCTGTAAAATTGGTTGTTGATCAATGCTAGACAGCCATTTTCAGGTTTTGCTATAGATCTTCAAGCAGATTTAAATCGAAACTGTAACTCGGCCACTCAGGAACATTTCCTGTCTTCTTGGTAAGCAACTCCAGTGTAAATTTGGCCTTGTGTTTCAGGTTATTGTCCTGCTGAAAGGTGAATTCATCTCCCAGTGTCTGGTGGAAAGCAGACTGAACCAGGTTTTCCTCTAGGATTTTGCTTGTGCTTAGCTCCATTCCATATCTGAAAAACTCCTCAGTCCTTAACGATTACAAGCATACCCATAATATGATGCAGCCACCACTATGCTTGAAAATATGGAGAGTGGGACTCAGTAATGTGTTGTATTGGATTTGCCCCAAACATAACACTTTGTATTCAGGACAAAAAGTTCATTGCTTTGCCACATTTTTTGCAGTTTTACTTTAGTGCCTTGTTGCAAACAGGATACATGTTTTGGAATATTTTTTATTCTGTACAGGCTTCCTTCTTTTCACTATGTCATTTAGGTTAGTATTGTGGAGTAACTACTTTTATTTTATTTATTTCACCTTTATTTAACCAGGTAAGCCAGTTGAGAACAAGTTCTCATTTACAACTGCGACCTGGCCAAGATAAAGCAAAGCAGTGCGATAAAAACAATCTTTGTAGTGACAGGGTGTATTGATACACCATCCCAAGTGTAATTAATAATTTCACCATGCTCAAAGGGATATTTATTTTATTTTGACCCATCTACCAATAGGTGCCCTTCTTTGCAGGCATTGGAAAACCTCCCTGGTCTTTGTGGTTGAATCTAGGTTTGAAATTAACTGCTCGACTGAAGGACCTTACAGATAATTGTGTGTGTGGGTTATAGAGATGAGGTAGTCATTCAAACATCATGTTAAACACTATTATTGCAACTTATGTGACTTGTTAAGCAAATGTTTACTCGTGAATTTATTTAGGCTTGCAATAACAAAGCGGTTGAATACCTATTGACTAAAGACATTTCAGCTTTTCATTTTGGGGTATTGTGTGTAGGCCAGTGACAAGAAAACAACATTTAATCCATTTGAAATTCAGGCTGTGTAACAACAAAATGTGGAAAAAGTCAAGGGGTGTGAATACTGGGTGAGCTGGGTGGCAGCCGATTGGTTAAGAGGTTGGGCCAGTAAACGAAAAGTTGTTGGTTCGAATCCCCGAGCTGACTAGGTGAAATCTGTCGATGTGCCCTTGAGCAAGGCACTTAACCATAATTGCTCCTGTAAGTCGCTCTGGATAAGAGAGTCTGCTAAATGTCTAAAATGTAAAAATAAATACTTTCTGAAGGCCCTCTGTCTACTCTACACACAGATAGGCATTTCTAAGGACAGGCACACACAGATCTGGCAGACTGGTCCCTACAGTGCAGTCAGGCATACCAGTTCATCTCTCTGTTTCCCCCTCTCCTTTTTCTACTACTCTTTCACTCAGTCTCTCTCCCCCCCCCCCCTTTCCCACATATCAAAGTGCAAGTCTAACAATGAGGTTATAGTGAAGGATGACGTGTACAACAGGAGGCCCCTGAGGGCCACTCATACAGGCTCAGGAAAGACATGCTGTTCTAGAAGTCACAAACAGGCACTCACATCAACAACTACACAACACGCACTTATGCTTAGGCTTGCTCACACACACACACACAACTGAAAACACACACTGCTCCATCCCTTGACTGTTCGTGTTGATCTCTGACTAATGATCCTCTGTGTGACACATGCCAGTGAAAACCAATACCTCATCTCAGAGCAATGAGCTTCTCAGTCTCATTAAAGCAGCTAGCTTCTCAGTCTCATTAAAGCAGCTAGCAAGGCTTTCAGTCTCATTAAAGCAACTAGCAAGGCTTTGAGTCTCATTAAAGCACCATTACACCCGGTAACTTGAGACAGGGTTGTTAGGGTTTGCTGCACACCAGCATAACCCTCCATGGTGAGAGTTATGGTTGGCTACACACCAGCATAACCCTCCATGGTGAGAGTTATGGTTGGCTGCACACCAGCATAACCCTCCATTGTGAGAGTTAGGGTTGGCTGCACACCAGCATAACCCTCCATGGTGAGAGTTAGGGTTGGCTACACACCAGCATAACCCTCCAGGGTGAGAGTTAGGGTTGGCTGCACACCAGCATAACCCTCCATGGTGAGAGTTATGGTTGGCTGCACACCAGCATAACCCTCCATGGTGAGAGTTAGGGTTTGCTGCACACCAGCATAACCCTCCAGGGTGAGAGTTAGGGTTGGCTGCACACCAGCATAACCCTCCAGGGTGAGAGTTAGGGTTGGCTGCACACCAGCATAACCCTCCAGGGTGAGAGTTAGGGTTGGGTACAATGCCATTTGGTTGTATTTGTTTGCTTGTTAAGTCTGAATTTGTCAGTCATTTAGTGGAAATAATCGTTTTTTTCAACATCAGACCTGTGTGTACACTGGATCAAATCCAACAGCTAGACATTTTTCATGGGTCTATTATGGGTAAGCTATTAAAAAAATATTTGGAATGTTATGATTTCCCACACAACCGTTTGAATAGTTGTTGGAGAGAGAATGGTAAAGACAGCACCAGAATACAGGAAGTAACTGAGTAGAGGGAGACATGACATCCAAACTCTCAAAACACACACGGACCCACACACGGACCTACACACGGACCCACACACGGACCCACACACGGACCCACACACGGACCCACACACGTGTGTACTGTGAATGGAATGCACTAATGCATTTCCAACCCCCACATGGTCTGTTTAAAGTAGGGACTCCAACTCACTCCACCTCCATTTACTACTGACATTTACATTTACGTCATTTAGCAGACGCTCTTATCCAGAGCGACTTACAAACTGACCATGGCCCATTTTACCCAAACACGCCACATAAAAACTCTCTATTTCAAGGTCATGTATGTATTAATCCTCTCAGAGTAGGAGTGCTGAGCTAGAATCAATTTAGCCTTTTAGATAATAAGGGATATTGAGTCGCTTGACAAATACAGGGCCAGGAATGTTTATCCTGATCAGGTCATGTGATCAGCTCCTAGCCCTTAGATAGGGCCCTGTGTTTTGAGCAATCATGTGACATGCCTGGATATCAACATTTATTTAAAGCTTTTTCATCAAACTGTCCCCTTTTCTTTTGATGTCAGATGGTCCAGCTCCATCCTCAGATAATCGCTTTCATTTTTTTGTATAATAAAACATTCTGGACGAGGCTTAAAATACAGGATAACATCTTGCTATGTCACATGATTGCGCAGAACGCAGGGCCGTGTCAGTCAGATATTAAGTCTAAATCATGGTTACAATATCTATATCTGAGGAACAGGAGCGTCCTAGTACCGGACACTGTGCTGAGCGGTGACATTATCCCTGGCGGAGCCACCGGACATCCTGTGTGTTGCTAGTCACAGACAGAGCAGAGCTGAGGGCCATGTCAGAGTAATGGGACACCATGATCAGGTGACAACAATTACCTTCACATAGCAACAGGACTGTCAATCAGCCATCACCCAGAGCCAAACATTCTAAATATATTGTTCTGTCATGACCATCAGAGCATTGGGAGTTAATTAAGATAAAACAACCAATGCGTCAGTCATCGAAATGTAGATCTGGAATAAGGATGTAGTTACTGTACATTTTAATATTGTATGACTAGGTTTGTGTTGAACTGTAGGGAACACTGTTCTGCATCTGTTCTGCTCTGGACTGAATGTTGCTCAATAAGAACTGTTCTGGAAACTGTCTCATATGCTGACGACAGGCCTGGATATCCCCCGCATGTTGAGTACCATGGTGTTCCAGTCACGGAGCGATCTACGGGGGAGGGAGTGCGTGGGGATGAGGGAGGGACGATGCTTATTAAAGAATGGGGAGAAGGGGGGGGGGGGGGGACTTTAAAAAGGGAAAATAAATTCCTTTAGCGTTTCTATTCTGTGAGCAATGAACATACTTCCCTGGCACAGCTGAGATAAAAAGAGCTGTATGCTGATAAGAGAAGAGACAGAAGGAACAGGAGAGAACAGGGATAGGGGATACCTTGTCAGTTGCACAGCTCAATGCATTCAACCGAAATACGTCTTCCGCATTTAACCCAACCCCTCTGAATTAGAGCGGTGCTGGGGGGGGGGGGGGGGAGCAGTTGTTGGGGGTTAACTGCCTTGCTCAAGGGTAGAACGGCATATTTTTCCACCTTGCCAGCTTTTCGGTTAGTGGCTAAATGCTCTTAACCGCTAGGCTACCTGCCACCCCAGCAGGGCAGCGCATGAGAGAGAGGGAAGGAGAAAAGCAAAGAGGAGAATGAGATGGAGAGAGCAAGAGAGGGGTAAGCCAGGCCTACGGTAAAGGGAAGTGGGGAGGGGTAAGCCAGGCCTACGGTAAAGGGAAGTGGGGAGGGGTAAGCCAGGCCTACGGTAAAGGGAAGTGGGGAGGGGTAAGCCAGGCCTACGGTAAAGGGAAGTGGGGAGGGGTAAGCCAGGCCTACGGTAAAGGGAAGTGGGGAGGGGTAAGCCAGGCCTACGGTAAAGGGAAGTGGGGAGGGGTAAGCCAGGCCTACGGTAAAGGGAAGTGGGGAGCAGAGATCAGAAGGAGGACAAAATAAAACGCTGACTAAGCTTAAAGCTCCAATGATATCATTCATATAATGTTGTACAACAACACATCCATGAGCCAAAAGTTGCCCGGTCACATTCATGAACTTCAAATGAATCTTAAATAAATTAGCAGGTCATCACTCTTCAACTGTTTTCACTTGGTACATCGTCAGCATTATTACAGTAATGTACTATAGTGTAGAGTGATCTTTCTGCACTGCTTTGTGTTATAAGGAGGTGCACAGGCAATGCATTCCGTTCTTTAATTATCCTTTATTGTGTAAGAGAGACTGAGACTGACAAAGAACAGACTTTCTCCCTCTGTCCCTTGTCATCACTGCAACATACTGTACTTCATCAATTCCATTTCTGCTGACCGAGCTTTCTCTTTCTCCACCCCACTGCCCTCTGTCCCTTTCTCTCTGTCCTTCACTCAGTCTCTCCCTGCCTCTTGCAGTCTCTCCTTCACCCTCTGTCCCCTTTCATCCAGACTGGCTTGGTTCTCTCTGCCCTGTCTCTCTCTGCTGTCTGATGATGCTGTCTGATGGGCCATGCCTGTACACGCAGCCTCCAAGGCGAGGGGTGAGGAGGGGGAAGACAGAGGGGAGGAACAGGCACGTGGGTTAGTAAGCCCCTTCCCTATCCGGGCCACCCTGTCGCTCATTCTCCTGAACAAAGACTTTGCTGGTGTTGCAGCCTGGCTCAGAACACCTCTGTTCCCCTCACGGCATCTCTCGGTCTCATCCTCCTGTGGTTCTGCAGAGACAGGGAGCCCAGTTGTCACTTTGATCTGGGCTCTGAGGGGAAAGGTTAGTGAATAATCAGATATACATTTCATACTGCACTGTCTGCCTAATTAGGGCTGGGCGAGGGAGACAAATATCCCTGTCACATCATGGATAACAATATGATGAACGTGACCATGTCAATTAGCATTTATCTATATGAATAAGCTTTATTCATATTTGGACATGTTCAACAGCCTCCATTTGATAACATTAGCACCTAACTGAGCTTTATCATGGTAGGCTGCAGTATGTGGAGAACTTGTGTCAATATCAGGGAATGATGAAATCATATCTCCAACATTCATATCATGAGGAGGAGGATAAGGCCCAGCCCTACAACGAGATAACAGTACAGTACAGTACTACAATGCATAAAGGCACTGCCCTTTGACCAAGATGGCAAACAATACCACCTGTACTTCCCTTTGGCATTTTGTTTCCCTCCCACTGTCATCCCTCACTCCACTGGCCCTCAGTAGTCAGCACTAGTTCCCTCTCTCTCTCCCTCCCTCCCTCTACCTCGCTCCCTCTCTCCTGCTGTCATCCCTCTCTCCACTGGCCCTCAGTAGTCAGCACTAGTTCCCTCTCTCCCTCCCTCTCCCTCCCTCCCTCTACCTCGCTCCCTCTCTCCTGCCGTCATCCCTCTCTCCACTGGCCCTCAGTAGTCAGCACTAGTTCCCTCTCTCCCTCCCTGGCTGGGCAGCCCAGCTAACTCCTGTCCCATGGCTCTAGTGTTGTGTACGGCCTGCTGTCCAGTTTAATCTACCCAGCAGTGGTGATCAGAGGCGAGCCACAAATCCACACAATGAAGCCCCCTCCTCTTCCAGCTCCCCGTCCCCCATCTAGGGGCCTCACTCTGCATTCTTCACTCACTTGATCACCCCTTTATTTCCTTTCCTCCTCTATTCCTCCTCTCTTCCATTACTTTTCCCTGCCTCCACAACCACCTCTTTAAGGAATACCATGGAATAGTCTAACAGTAATCCTTATACACCCCCCTCCCACAGTGGTGGTTGTCCCACTGGCTATCCTAAGTTGAATGCACCAATTTGTAAGTGGCTCTGGATAAGAGCGTCTGCTAAATGACTTAAATGTAAATGTAAATATCATGCCGTCTACTCGGCCACTCTTAAAACCCACACAGTTATCATGCAACAGTGATTGCTTTCCTGGGTGGGTAGACAGCATGGCGTACTAAAACACTATGCAGTGCTGTTCTCTCTTTATGAGGCATGGTTACTAATTACTTTGCCAGTAATTGCTGGAGCAGCACAGTGCAGTACTTCCACTCACCCTCATAAAAACCCTTGTGCTTTTCACAACTGAAACTATGACGGCGATGACATCATTAGTTCAACAAAACACACCGACCCACCCAGATACCCTGAATAATGACTGGGTCCAATCAGTATGGAAACCTGGACAGTCTCATGCTGCGAGGACAGGACAGGAGGTGAAGGCTGGGAGGAGTGTTCTGCTCTGTATGACAGACACCGATTAAGATGTCATACAACAACGGAATTCTCTTTTGACAACCCTGTGTTCCACTAGTACACCACACCCATCCCCGTGACAACTGATACCAAGGCTTACCTGCTTTATCTGAGAGGGGTATAATTGATGAGAACAGAGGAGTACAGCTGTCATTCTCTGGCTGACCACAATAAACACAGTGTTCCAGTGACCTCAGCAGAAACAGTGTGCCTGTGGGACACGGGGGAGGTATGGGAAAAGGCAACCTGCTCTGGTGCTCTGGTCCCATTCAGTAAAACTAAACAAAAACAATGTGAATTCAGAGCATACAGATAGACAACTGGACTTTGCAAACAGCAACCAAGTTGTCATGCGAAGGAAAGACACAGTGTATCATTTATAACCCTTCAGCTTCACACATTGTGTTTGAGTAAACCTCAAAACACAAATGACACACAAAAAACGTCTCAAAACTATTATTGTTTGTGTGTGTGGGGGAGGGGGGGGTATTTCCCTCAGCAGGCTTTGCAGCTCCCGTCAGTCCTAAACAATACCCAGGGCCATTAATCCAATGGGCCGCTTCAGGGCTACCATGGTAACAGGTAAACAGGCCTGGGGCACTGCACTGCAGCGTCCAGACATTGTGTAAGAGAGTGTGTTTCCTTCTTTGTGCGTGTCCAAATGATTTCAGTGTGACAAGCTATTGACAGAAATTACCTAGTGATTCTCTCGCTCGCTCGCTCTCTCTCTCTCTCTCTCTCACAACCACACACACACACACACACAGGCCAAAAGAAGGAAGGAAAGCAACCTCCCGAGTGGCGTGTGCCACTAGAGATCCTGGTTCGAATCCAGGCTCTGTCATAGCCGGCCATGACCGGGAGACCCATGGGGCGGCGCACAATTGGCCCAGCGTCGTCTAGGGTAGGGGAGGGAATGGCCGGCAGGGATGTAGCTCAGTTGGTAGAGGTTAGCGTTTGCAACGCCAGGGTTGTGGGTTCGATTCCCACGGGGGTATGAAAAATAAAAAAATAATGTATGCACTCACTAACTGTAAGTCGCTCTGGATAAGAGAGTCTGCTAAATGACTAAAATGTCAATGAAAGCCAACACTGCCCAAGAATGCTGTCATACATAGAGCTGGCATAATTACTGTATAATCGTGTAACCGACAATTATGGAGGAAGACCTTCATGAAAATAAAATTTATTTTTTGGAACCAACAGGTGACTGAAGATGGGACGGCCGTGCATTTGTGCGGTTGAGTCCGTTTCAGCGGACTCTTTACAACGTGAAACTTGTTGGTCTTTGCTGAAACAAGCAAGGTGTTGTAGCAAACGAGTCTGGTTGCCTAGGCAACGCCCCCCTTCCTCCAGCAGCAGCACATGCAGTCAGGAGAGGAGAAAATGGTGCATCTTTACAAATAATAATAATAAATAATCAAACTCTTCATACGATTAAAATGGTGACCGCGGTCATTTGGCTGACCAATAACTTGCATTCAAAATTCCATGAACGTCACAGCCCTAGTCATTCTTTACCATCAGCAGTGACAAATATATTTTCCAAAACATCAAGAAGCCCACAAAAGTGGCACGTGTACACAAATAACATTTTTCATTCAGATTATGTGAATACCACTGCGTGTTTAACATGAGTGCGTTGCCAACATATTAACTCCATACACATTCCACAGAAGAAGATGTACAATATTCCACATCCACAGCTCATCATTAAAGCATTCCACACATCAGTCCAATGACAACTGTATTCTTAAATCTGCCCATAAAGAAAGATCTGCTACTTAAGTCTAGTTCCCTTTAGGCCTACTTCCACAGTGACAATGTCAGCCATGGCTGGAGGGAAAAACATTCTCGCTAAACACATACAGCGTTCTTCACTTCTCAAACGAACGTATAATCTAGAGAGAATTAGCAGAACACAACTGAGGGGAGTAAAGAGAGAGCAACAAACCTGCTCTTTACATCCTAAAACATGCTGAGCCCCGAGGAAGAGCCCTGCCATCATTTAGCCCAACGGTCCGGAACCCATTAGTGCAAGGAGACAATATGTGGACCCACATCCAGACAAATCCCCAGTTAGAGCTAACTGCTCCCTACACTGTTGGGGGGAAAAGGCAGCGGGCAAAGATTTAAAAAGAGTGTGTGTGTGGTTGAGGGGTGGGGGGATGCAGCCACAGAGACAGGACCCAGCGTGACGTTAGGGTGAGGGGTGGGGGGATGCAGCCACAGAGACAGGACCCAGCGTGACGTTAGTGTCTAGCGTGTAATTGAAACCCAGGGCCTACAGGGTTTTACACAGAGACCACTGTAATCCCTTCCTGACAAAGTGGCTTGTCATTTATAGGTCATATGGCACAGCGAGACAGCTTAGACTCACAGACAACAGCCCAGTGTCTCTAGATTCAACTGATGGGCATTTGAAATGATCTTACTGTTCAAATAATATCATGACATTTTTTTATCAGATATTCCAGATACTCTAAAATAAATATTGTTATTGACTGAATTTGTATATTTTGACTTGGTCAAATAACAAGCATAGATTGGTCACTTTTTCTAATTTGGCACACAACTAAATAATAATGGCACCAGTTGGCCTATAGGGGGCACTGTTATAAGCAGTCTCACTTAAACACTCATATCTGTCGCTTCAAAATAACACCAAATTACAGGCCCATGGTACATCTCTTAATTTGAGAAAAGCGAAGGAATTGGTTAAGAGATGGCAGAGTTATTGATAAATCAGGAAATCAGATTGTACGTGTCCATTTAAATCCACTCCACAATGGCCAATCAACTTTCAACTGTTTGGGGTCCTCGAAGAATCAAACCGAATCGCACCGAATCGTTTGAAACTAAAACATATCGTTCCTGTATGGTATCAGGGCCCATGTATCTATACTGAACAAACATATGAACACAACATGCAACAATTTCAACGATTTTACTGAGTTACAGTTCATATAAGGAAATCAGTCAATTGAAATAAATTCCTTAGGCCCTAACCTATGGATTTCACATGACTTGAGAATACAGACATGCATGTGTTGGTCACAGATAACTTTTTAAAAAGGCTGTGTGATTGCCTGTGCGAAGTTGCTAGATATTGGCGGGAACTAGAACACGCTGTCGTACACGTCGATCCAGAGCATCCCAAACATGCTCAATGGGTTACATTGTCTGGTGAGTATGCAGGCCATGGAAGAACTGGGACATTTTCAGCATCCAGGAATTACAGTGGGGAAAAAAAGTATTTAGTCAGCCACCAATTGTGCAAGTTCTCCCACTTAAAAAGATGAGAGAGGCCTGTAATTTTCATCATAGGTACACGTCAACTATGACAGACAAAATGAGAAAATAAATTCCAGAAAATCACATTGTAGGATTTTTAATGAATTTATTTGCAAATTATGGTGGAAAATAAGTATTTGGTCACATACAAACAAGCAAGATTTCTGGCTCTCACAGACCTGTAACTTCTTCTTTAAGAGGCTCCTCTGTCCTCCACTCGTTACCTGTATTAATGGCACCTGTTTGAACTTGTTATCAGTATAAAAGACACCTGTCCACAACCTTAAACAGTCACACTCTAAACTCCACTATGGCCAAGACCAAAGAGCTGTCAAAGGACACCAGAAACAAAATTGTAGACCTGCACCAGGCTGGGAAGACTGAATCTGCAATAGGTAAGCAGCTTGGTTTGAAGAAATCAACTGTGGGAGCAATTATTAGGAAATGGAAGACATACAAGACCACTGATAATCTCCCTCGATCTGGGGCTCCACGCAAGATCTCACCCCGTGGGGTCAAAATGATCACAAGAACGGTGAGCAAAAATCCCAGAACCACACGGGGGGACCTAGTGAATGACCTGCAGAGAGCTGGGACCAAAGTAACAAAGCCTACCATCAGTAACACACTACGCCGCCAGGGACTCAAATCCTGCAGTGCCAGACGTGTCCCCCTGCTTAAGCCAGTACATGTCCAGGCCCGTCTGAAGTTTGCTAGAGTGCATTTGGATGATCCAGAAGAGGATTGGGAGAATGTCATATGGTCAGATGAAACCAAAATATAACTTTTTGGTAAAAACTCAACTCGTCGTGTTTGGAGGACAAAGAATGCTGAGTTGCATCCAAAGAACACCATACCTACTGTGAAGCATGGGGGTGGAAACATCATGCTTTGGGGCTGTTTTTCTGCAAAGGGACCAGGACGACTGATCCGTGTAAAGGAAAGAATTAATGGGGCCATGTATCGTGAGATTTTGAGTGAAAACCTCCTTCCATCAGCAAGGGCATTGAAGATGAAACGTGGCTGGGTCTTTCAGCATGACAATGATCCCAAACACACCGCCCGGGCAACGAAGGAGTGGCTTTGTAAGAAGCATTTCAAGGTCCTGGAGTGGCCTAGCCAGTCTCCATATCTCAACCCCATAGAAAATCTTTGGAGGGAGTTGAAAGTCCGTTTTGCCCAGCGACAGCCTCAAAACATCACTGCTCTAGAGGAGATCTGCATGGAGGAATGGGCCAAAATACCAGCAACAGTGTGTGAAAACCTTGTGAAGACTTACAGAAAACGTTTGACCTGTGTCATTGCCAACAAAGGGTATATAACAAAGTATTGAGAAACTTTTGTTATTGACCAAATACTTATTTTCCACCATAATTTGCAAATAAATTCATAAAAAAATCCTACAATGTGATTTTCTGGATTTTTTTCTTCTCATTTTGTCTGTCATAGTTGACGTGTACCTATGATGAAAATTACAGGCCTCTCTCATCTTTTTAAGTGGGAGAACTTGTACAATTGGTGGCTGACTAAATACTTTTTTCCCCCACTGTATGTACAGATCCTTGCGACATGGGTTCGTGCATTATCATGCTGAAACATGAGGTGATGGCGGCAGATTCATGGCACGACAATGGGCCTCAGGACCTCATCACGGTATCTCTGTGCATTCAAATTGCCTTCGAATTGTTCGTTGTCCATAGCTTATGCCTGCCCATACCATAACCCCACCGCCACCATGAGGCAGTTTGTTCACAATGTTGACATCAGGTCAAGACCCTGGTGAGGACGACGAGCACGCAGATGAGCTTCCCTGAGACGGTTTATGACAGTTTGTGCAGAAATTCTTCGGTTGTGCAAACCCACAGTTTCATCAACTGTCCGGGTGGCTGGTCTCAGACAATTCTGCAGGTGAAGAAGCCAGATGTTGAGGTCCTGGGCTGGCGTGGTTACACGTGGTCTGCGGTTGTGAGGTCGGTTGTGTGTACTGCAATATTCTCTGAAACGTCGTTTGAGGCGACTTATGCTATAGAAATGAACATTCAATTATTTGGCAACAGCTCTGGAGGACATTCCTGCAGTCAGCATTCCAATTGCATGCTCCCTCAAAACTTGAGACATCTCTGGCATTGTGTTGTGACAAAACTGCACATTTTAAAGTGGCCTTTTATTGTCCCCAGCATAAGGTGCACCTGTGTAATGATCATGCTGTTTAATCAGCTTCTTGATATGCCACACCTGTCAGGTGGATGGATTATCTTGGCAAATGAGAAATGCTCACCAACAGGGATGTAAACAAATTAGTGCACAACATTTGAGAGAAATAAGCTTTTTTTCTGGGATCTTTTATTTCCGCTCATGAAACATGGGACCAACACTTTACATGTTGCGTTTATATTTTTGTTCAGTATAGATACGCATGGTTCCTGTATGGTATCAGGGCCCGTGTATCTAGGTACGTATCAAATCATCTTGAAAGGGAAAGATACAAAATGGCTACAGCCCGGCCTGCCCCCTAGCTCTGTGTGATCCTTCCTTACCTTTCAACCTGACCACATTAGCCATACGTAGGATTACTGCACTGTTGGAGCTAGAAACATAAGCATTTCGCTGCACCTGCGATAACATCTGCAAAATGTGTACGCAACCAATATAATTTGAGTTGATATGTCGTACGACCGCTGTTCCATTCGTAACGTATCATACTAAATGGAGGGATATAAAATAAAACATCCCAAATTATACAAACTGCCCTGAGGCTAGGTTGTACCTTTCCTCTGCAGGAAGAGGCGTAGTAGCGGGTTAGCCACGGACATGGCCTTCTGGTAGTTGTCATCGTTGTTGATTGGCAGCAGGTCGCCGTGGACGTCGGCATAGCCCACCAGCAGGTCCACGTTTGGGATCCGGTGCACGTGCTGCAGGAGCCCATAGAACTCATCGAACCGGCCAGGCTTAGACCGGTCCAGGGAGAACCTGCGGAATTCTGCCCCAAACTGGGACACATAGGGGAATGCACAAACACAGACAGACAGCGAGACAGAGAGAAAGCGAGACAGAGAAATGTGACACACACTTAAAGATTGTATAGGAGGAATGATAATGACCTTGGTGTTTTGTAGAAAGAATTTAACAACAAACCAGAAAGACATTACACGGTGGTTGACATAGGTAAATGGACTGTTTGTTTAAGCAGTAGGCCTCGTCTTCCAGAGCACACAGCTCTCAAGCAATTAAACTCATGACCGCTATGTGACAGAGCAGAGTTCCCAAACCGCGGGTGATTTTATTTGGCCCCCAAAGTTTTCAGCAACAAATGTTTTTGTTGAAATTTCATTGTTGGACATAAAAGACTCAAATCAGCAGGAAATCAGCTCAAAGTGATTTAAATTTAGGAAATCTGATCCCAAGTATTCCCACGCATAAATAGAGAGACATACAGTATGTGATCGTATCCCAATGTAATAAAGGTTTGAAATGATTCTGTTTTTGTCAAATACTATCTGTTTGGGCTTCTTGCGGTCAATTTGCAGTGTCCTAATTATTTATAATTATGTTACACACCCCCTGCCCACCCGCGGCTGAATGTAGTTGGGGACTAGTGGTGCGCGGGCCAGCTGTTTGTTCATCCGCACCCACCTGCAATTGCTAATAACCCATCCACAACCGCCCGACTATATGTGATAAAGTTCAAATCTGAGGCCCGCACCCAACCCTAACCCGCAAATATAGAAAATGCACTATCGGCTACAGTCAAAGACGGCAGAACGATTTTTTGACAGGGGGTGCAGGACTTTTTGCCTAATTTAGATATGTTTTCTAAAGTTCTCTCTGTCATCTTTCGTGGAGCAAAGATGTTTAGGGACTGGAGAGAAAATACAATAACACAAAAAAAAAAGGTTAAGATTTTCTGTTCAAAATGTCCAGATGACATCAGTTTGACCGGTTGTAAGGAAATAGAAAGCTGTGAAAACGACCCAAGGTGTTTCTGATAAGATTTCAGTTCGGCTTCGATTAATATTTAGGTGGTTGAAATGCTATCAGCTTTTATGATGAAGACAGCACCTCGACAGATGACATCTAACTGAGCATTGCGTTCTCACAAGATGCAGAAATAAATAAATCATGTAACTTCACTCCTGTTCCCAAGTCCAAATTTTGCCTATATTTAGTATATCAAGAAATGCTTAATTCTGAAGGAGTTCTTATTAAGGCTATCTGAGAGGTTATTAGACCTAGAGTCAGTGTCCAGATTTCAGTTTCCATTTAACCCATCTGAACAGTAGGCTACAGTTCCCTTGACGTGCCATAGGTGTATTTGAAGTCCCATTTTGTGACTGTCGAATTTGTATAGCGCCTCACAATCATCACACATAACAACATAACACTGCTCCCATCCTCTTTTACCACTTCACCAAATCTTTCCCAAACATGATCTTTCTGGCCCTCCCTTCTCTTTACTTTTAACTCTCCTTTCGCAGCTTTTGTCTTATTGAACTAAACTTTGACAATGACTTTTTTGCTTCCGTGGATTGACATTTTTCTGCCCGTTCCCAAAATCATTATTTGGCGATTGACTGTGTAGGCTATTTGGCGCCGGTACAGTTAAGCCCTAAAGCTTAGGCTTATGCACTAATACCAGATAGCCTACAATAATGAAAGAAACAACTCAATGTAACATATAGATATAAAATTGCACAATAATAATATATTTATGTATTTTTTAAGGAATTGTTTCTCTATTTATTCTCTTTTTTTTAGGGGGTAAAATCAGCTTTAATATTGCAGATAGATTGTGGCTTCCATCAATGTAATTGTCTGCATCATTTCCATATATTCCTTCCTTATGTTCCCCTAAACCTACCACCCCTCCCCTAACTGGAATAAACTAATGGACAACAACACTTTATTATCCTTCCAGCTTATACTATATACATTTTAAGGACACAATGTATTTTACAATAGTTATCTTTTGTTTGTTTTTAATCCCATCCTTCAGCTACCCTCAACCCCTCCCATATATCTCTGAAGACCATCCAGTTTGATTTCTATTTTTGCCATACATTTGAAACTGTGCTGTTCCACAAAAGGTTCTGAACCTACATACATGTTACGGAGACAGTATATTTTACATTAGGTATTGTTTGTCTTTATTCAACCCGCCCGCCCGCCCGCCACCCACCCACCCGTCCTTCAGTCACACAATGACACTAAACCTGTCCGCCCCGTGGATATAACCGCGGGTTCTGAGTCAACCCGCGCATCACTATTGGGGACCCCTGCAGCAGAATGTCTAGAAGCCCAGAGTGTCACTGAGCACAAATTATGATTATGTGTCCTTGGCTTGTATGTGTAAAAGATGAGTACAATCTGTGCGTCAGTGAGAATGTTTGATATGCATCTGTAGGTGTGCTTGTGTCTGCAGTGTTTCCCCTTTATTCATTTAGCCGCGGATTGACTGACCATGTCTTAAAGTAATGATGGACTGTTGTTTCTCTTTGCTTATTTGAGCCGTTCTTGCCATAATATGGATTTGGTCTTTTGCCAAATAGGGCTAGCTTCTGTAAATAAATCAGCCGTTTCCAGCTACAATAGCCATTTACAACATTAACAATGTCTACACTGTATTTCTGATCAATTTGATGTTATTTTATTGGACAAAAAAATGTGCTTTATCTTTCGAAAACAAGGACATTTCTAAGTGACCCCAAACTTTTGAACGGTAGTGTATATATACAGTTGAAGTCGGAAGTTTACATTTTATTTTATTTTTTATTTAACCTTTATTTAACCAGGTAAGCCAGTTGAGAACAAGTTCTCATTTACAACTGCGACCTGGCCAAGATAAAGCAAAGCAGTGCGATAAAAACAACACAGAGTTACATATGGGGTAAAAAAAAAAACATAAAGTCAAAAATACAACAGAAAATATATATACAGTGTGTGCAAATGTAGCAAGTTATGGAGGTAAGGCAATAAATAGGCTATAGTGCAAATTATTTACAATTAGTATTAACACTGGAATGCTAGATGTGCAAGAGATTATGTGCAAATAGAGATACTGGGGTGCAAAAGAGCAAAATAAATAACAATATAGGGATGAGGTAGTTGGGTGGGCTAATTTCAGATGGGCTGTGTACAGGTGCAGTGATCGGTAAGGTGCTCTGACAATTGATGCTTAAAGTTAGTGAGGGAGATAAGAGTCTCCAGCTTCAGAGATTTTTGCAATTCGTTCCAGTCATTGGCAGCAGAGAACTGGAAGGAATGGCGGCCAAAGGAGGTGTTGGCTTTGGGAATGACCAGTGAGATATACCTGCTGGAGCGCAGACTACGGGTGAGTGCTGCTATGGTGACCAATGAGCTAAGATAAGGCGGGGATTTGCCTAGCAGTGATTTATAGATGGCCTGGAGCCAGTGGGTTTGACGACGAACATGTAGTGAGGACCAGCCAACAAGAGCGTACAGGTCACAGTGGTGGGTAGTGTATGGGGCTTTGGAGACAAAACGGATGGCACTGTGATAGACTACATCCAATTTGCTGAGTAGAGTGTTGGAGGCTATTTTGTAAATGACATCGCCGAAGTCAAGGATCGGTAGGATAGTCAGTTTTACAAGGGCATGTTTGGCAGCATGAGTGAAGGAGGCTTTGTTGCAAAATAGGAAGCCAATTCTAGATTTAACTTTGGATTGGAGATTCTTAATGTGAGTCTGGAAGGAGAGTTTACAGTCTAACCAGACACCTAGGTATTTGTAGTTGTCCACATACTCTAGGTCAGACCCGTCGAGAGTGGTGATTCTAGTCGGGTGGGCGGGTGCCAGCAGCGTTCGATTGAAAAGCATGCATTTACTTTTACTAGTGTTTAAGAGCAGTTGGAGGCTACGGAAGGAGTGTTGTATGGCATTGAAGCTCGTTTGGAGGTTTGTTAACACAGTGTCCAATGAAGGGCCAGATGTATACAAAATGGTGTCGTCTGCGTAGAGGTGGATCTGAGAGTCACCAGCAGCAAGAGCGACATCATTGATATACACAGAGAAAAGTGTCGGCACAAGAATTGAACCCTGTGGCACCCCCATAGAGACTGCCATAGGTACAGACAACAGGCCCTCCGATTTGACACACTGAACTCTATCTGAGAAGTAGTTGGTGAACCAGGCGAGGCAGTCATTTGAGAAACCAAGGCTATTTAGTCTGCCAATAAGAATGTGGTGGTTGACAGAGTCGAAAGCCTTGGCCAGGTCGATGAAGACGGCTGCACAGTACTGTCTATTATCAATCGCGGTTATAATATCGTTAACTTGAGCGTGGCTGAAGTGCACCCATGACCAGCTCGGAAACCGGATTGCATAGCGGAGAAGGTACGGTGGTATTCGAAATGGTCGGTGATCTGTTTGTTAACTTGGCTTTCAAATACTTTCGAAAGGCAGGGCAGGATGGATATAGGTCTGTAACAGTTTGGATCTAGAGTGTCACCCCCTTTGAAGAGGGGGATGACCGCGGCAGCTTTCCAATCTCTGGGGATCTCAGACGTTACGAAAGAGAGGTTGAACAGACTAGTAATAGGGGTTGCGACAATTTCGGCGGCTAGTTTTAGAAAGAAAGGGTCCAGATTGTCTAGCCCAGCTGATTTGTAGGGGTCCAGATTTTGCAGCTCTTTCAGAACATCAGCTATCTGAATTTGGGTGAAGGAGAAGCGGGGGGGGCATGGGCAAGTTGCAGCGGAGGGTGCAGAGTTGGTGGCCGGGGTAGTGGTAGCCAGGTGGAAAGCATGGCCAGCCGTAGCAAAATGCTTGTTGAAATTCTCGATTATTGTAGATTTATCGGTGGTGATAGTGCTTCCTAGCCTCAGTGCAGTGGGCAGCTGGGAGGAAGTGCTCTTATTCTCCATGGACTTTACAGTGTCCCAAAACGTTTTGGAGTTAGTGCTACAGGATGCACATTTCTGTTTGAAAAAGTTAGCCTTTGCTTTCCTGACTGCTTGTGTATATTGGTTCCTAACTTCCCTGAAAAGTTGCATATCGCGGGGGCTATTTGATGCTAATGCAGTACGCCACAGGATGTTTTTGTGCTGGTCAAGGGCAGTCAAGTCTGAGGAGAACCAGGGGCTATATCTGTTCTTAGTTCTGTATTTTTTGAATGGGGCATGTTTATTTA